CCTGAAAGCGAAATGATTGAGAATATCGGGGTCGGTTGCTGCCAGCTCCAGCAGTGTGGTGTGTGATGGAGGACTTGACCCAGGGGTCTCGTCCATTTCCAGGAGCCAGTCTCTTCGTGATAGACGAGGTGCGTTGTCATTGACGTCTCCCACTCTCACTACCACCGTTCCCGTACCTGTTAACACACCTTCATTTTACTATCTAGCATCACTCATCATGACGATCACCCGAGAATTTGCTGTCACTACATAGCACCTTTGCTCTACACTCTTCAACACCTTGTTCAACATTAGGCACCGCAATTACTCTCATAAGTTATACCTCAGTGTGACTTTGTCAATGGTCCAAGTCGGACCGAAACGTCGTCGTAAGCTTCTCTCTTTTATGTGCGGGTTATTTGTGTATTATACCTCAATCATTGGTGTGGCCTGCCCCTCAACCACTGCCATGGCATTAAGCTCATCCCTTACCATGGCATTTTCCCACAAATATGCTCTGACCTTCACATTTACCATAACAGTTACCTCAATGTCGTTGTCTAAACCTCAACGCATGAAGAGGCCTCCTCCTAATCTGTTACCGTCCTTGACACCGTAAGTAGTGTCGTTGCCGTAACATCAGCCACTGTTATGGTTTTCACCTGTGTCCTGTTGATACTGCGTTAACGTGAGCCATTACCATGGCTTCTACCTGATTACTTCACTAGATTTATCCTCGACATTATCATTTAACATTGCTCCGAGAGGTGTTGCCAAGTACGTATGAGCTCCTTGTTAAGACGTGTTAAAATGTTCATTCTAAAGCTGAACTAGACTCCAGTTGGCAGTTAATTTTTATTGTTTCTTTAACATTTCAGAATATATGAATATTTAAACAGCAGCCACCCAGGGAGGTACTACAGTCCTGCCAAATGAGTGAGAAAAGGAAAATTGTAATTGTTTTTCACAATGGTAGGATTACGTGTCTTAAAAACGCAAGATAACAGGTACATCTTGCTATTTCTACTTACACTTTGGTCACACTGCACACGCATGTACATGTATATGTATATACACCCATCGGAGTTTTTCTCTGTTTTCGTAATAGTTCTCGTTCTTATTTATTTTATTTTCATCTCAATGGGGAAGAGGAAAGGAATCCTGGCATAAGCCATGTGTGTCGTAAGAGGCGACTAAAATGCCGGGAGCAAGAGCCTAGTAACCCTTTCTCTTGCATAGATTATTAAATATAAGAGGACAATTTGATAAAGTTGAGATGTCTGAATGATCGTAGGTGTAGTGTCAGTGATATGCATGAAAAGATGTACATCCTGGCTCTAAGCAAAATAAAACAGAATGGGGTAGGAGAGTTTTAGTGGGGAGAAATAAGTGAAATTACGTCAGGGGTATCAGAGAGAGTAAGACCTAAGGAAGAAGTAGCAATAATATTGAAGGATCAGTTATGGAAGGAAATGAAGGAATATTATTGAATAAATTCAAGGATTATGTGAATTAAAGTAAGGGTCAGACGCGAAGAGTAAGTTATACTAACTGTTTATTTCCCAGCAAAGTAAAAAGAGTTAGAGAAGAAAGATTATGGGAGATGTTGAGTGTTTAGGAAGTTATTGAACTAAGTGAGAGAGTAGTTGTGGTAGGGATCCTGAATGCTACAGTGGGGAAAACGGTGGTAGAGGGCCTATTCGGTAAGTGTGGAATATTAACTGAAAATTATAATGAGGTACTTTCGAATGATCATTGTTTAGAAAGGGGTTTAGTAATAGGTAGTATATATTTTGAGGAAAAGTGGATAAAAAAGTATACGAGACATGACTATAGGACGTAATGACAATAGTCTGCTGGACTATGTATTGGTGGATAACATGTTGATGGGTAGACTTCTGAAAGTGCATGTTTAAAGAGGAGCAACAGATGTTAGAGTGTGTTAGAGGGTGCAGTGTTAGAGGGTGTTAGAGGGTGGAGCAAAGGTTTGTGGGATATAGGAGAGTGAGTGTGGGTGGGAAGAGGAGCAATTGGTGGAGTGATGAGGAAAAGGGAGGGGTAAGGCTGAAAACGTTAAGATACGAGAGGTTTTAACAAAGCAAAGTGATGTAAGGAGGTAGGTAGAGTATATGGAGAGAAACAGAGGTTACCAGAGCGTTCAGGGAGAGAGACGGTGGGTGGTTTTGTCAAAAAATTTTGCTGAGAATATGAAAAAGTTTTGGAGAATAATAGGTTGAGAAAGCCTAGGGAACTAATGGATATGACTAACTACAGAACATGAGAGCTATTAGCTGGGGAGCTGGAGGTACTGGGAAGATGGCGAAGAAGAAAAAGTGAAAGTGATTTCATGCATTGGGTCAGGGAGGTATAACATCCTTTAAGAGTGAGGAAGAGCTAGATGTTAGTGAAGGGGAAAAGTGTGAGGTATTAGGTAAAACTGAAGGAGGTAAAACATCTAGGGTTCATGGGTAGAGACAGAAATGTTAAAAGGATGTGGGAATATATTTTAGTAGTTGGTACTTTCGTTCAATAAATGTATAAATGAGGGTAAGGTGTCTAGGATTTGGCAAGGTGTGTACATAGCACCTTATATAAAGGAAAGGGAGATAAAAAACAATGGGATTAAACATAAGAAAATAAGTATCTTGAGAATACAAGGTAAATTGTATTATAAATTTATTATTGTAAGAATTAAAAGCAATACAGAGAGACAGGATCGCATATGGACAAGGCTGAACAAAAGGTATGGAATGAGTAGATCAAATGTATTTAGATAAAGATTAGGAAGTTTGTGATATATTCGTGGTTTCAAAAAGGTATACGATAGAGTGGATAGAGGAGCAATGTGGTAGATGTTGCTAGTGAATGGAATACGTGGTAGGATACGGATAGCAGTTCAGAGTTTTCAAGAGGATAGTGAGGCTCAGGTTAGGGTAAATAGGAGAGAGAAAGATTATTTTGAAGTAAAAACATGACATAGACAGGGAAGCGTGATGTCACCATTGTTGTTTAACATATTTATATATGGGGTTGTAAAAGAAATAAATGTTAGAGCATTGGGGAGAAGTGAAGGATTAACATGTTCAGGGAAATAGGAGTTGTGACAGTTGCTGTTTGCCGATAACACTGTGCTTTTGGTAGATTTTGAAGAGAAATTGCTATGGTTGGTGGATGAAATTGAAAGTAAACGTACAAAAGAGGAAGGCGATGAGGTTAACAAACGAGTTAGGTAATGGAACATTGGATATCAGATTGGAAGGAGGAAGTAAGGAAGAAGTGAATATATTTAAATTTTTGGGACTGTCGGTGGATGGGTCTATGAAAGATAAAGTGAACCAAAAAACTGATGAAAGGAAAAATGTGGGTAGTGCACTGAGGCATCTGTTATCCTTGAAGACAAAAAGGGGAATGAATAAGAGTATAATGGTACCAACACTCTTATAAGGGTGTGAAGCAAGAAATGTGAATGATCAACGAAAAGAAGGCTGGAGGTAGAGATGCCGTGTCTGAGGGCAATGAGTGATGTTAATATTATGGTGGAGTTACTAAGAGTATATATAATCCAGAGGCTGAGAGGGGTTGTTGAGGTGGCTTCGACATTAGAGTGGATGTAACAACATAGGATGGCTTAGAGGAAGTATAAACCTGTGAATGGAAGGAAAGTGGGGTACAAGTCACCCTTCTGTGTGATGAGCTGTGACAGCCAGCAGGTGTCTATGAAGGGATTTGAAGAGCTGTTGGAGTGTGAGCAATGAAATATTTGTAAAAGAATTCAGGGAAACCGGTTAACAGGACTTGAATCCTGTAGATGGTAGATACAATCCATGATGCACTCTGAAGGAAAGATGGGGATATTTGCAGTTTTGGTGAGGCATCTGAACAGTAGCAGCGGCACGCCTCTCACAAAACAGTGATTGAGTGAATGATGGTGAAAGTATGTTTAATTTTCCGGGACACCCTATCTCAATGGGAAACGGCCAGTATATTAAAAAAAAATTGAGTGACTAGCAGGGGATCGAACCCGCGATATTTTAACTAACATCTCTCTCTCCTGGGAATCCCGCTAAAATGCACGACGTCTTAGTCCACAGCACCACTATGATTCAAATATCAATAACCCAGTGAGTACACTGGGTTTGCCACTCCTGATGCTAGCATACGTACATGCACATGTACACACGCACACGCGCACACAAACACACACACACACACACACACACACACACACACACACACACACACACACACACACACACACACACACACACACACAGAGGCATATTTAAGAAAATATTTGGCGAATAGTGTACTGAAGTCGGGATACCTCGAACATTGCTCTGCTCCTGTAGTTACATATAGGGGAGAGGCTGAGAAGCAATTTGAGAAGGACACAAGAGGAAAAGCCACGAAGGAGCCAATACTTCTTCTCAGCCACATCAGAAGAAAAAACACAAGGGACCAGGTAATTCTACTATAGAAGTAAGAGGAACAGCTCACTTGTAACGACAAAGAAGTCTGTAAAGTGTTCAGCGAACGATTTAAAGAAATGTTCTCAGTGGAAATGGGCAATACCAGAGGCCAAGAGCAATGGATAAACCAATAGTAATGGAAACCATATACACAGCAGGGTAACAGTTAAACTTTTTAGTGAGCTGGATACATCAATGGCATTAAGACCTGAAAAAGTTGTCGAGAGGAACCAGAAGCACTGTGTAAACTACTAGCTAGGATCTGCAACTAGTCAGTGGATACTGGGCAGTTGTCAGATATCCAAGAGACAGCGAAGAGAGTTAAAACATGAATAATTTAGCTAAAGGACAGTATCTCTGACATGAATACCTAATTAAGTAATGAAGATAATCAGAAGTAGTGATAGAGCACTTGGAAGGAAGTTACTTCATAAGCAGTAATCAGCACGGGTTTAGAGATGGCAAATATTGTCTTACTAACCTGCTGGAAATCTATGATAAAATGACAGAAGTAAGAATGGAGAGTGAGGGATGGGTAGTTTGCATATTCTTGGATTACCAGAAGGCATTTGATACTGTGCTTCACCTAGGACAAAAATTTGAGGTGCATGCAGGAATAATCTGGAATATATCTTGGTAGATCAAAGAGTACCTTAGTGAATGGAAGCATAGTGATTACCCGAGAAGAAATGACAGAATGGGGAAGAGTGACAAGCGGGGTTCTCTGAGGATCGGTGTTAGGACCAATACGGTAATTTATATGTGTAAATGACATACCAAATGGGATGAAGCAGATGTATCTCTATTTGCTGAAGGTTACAAATAGCTCTTGACAAACTGCAAGACTCGTCCGATAAGTAGATGCTTAAATTTAACCTCAGCATATGCGATGAAGATCAGACAGGAAGAACAATCACCGAGTAGAGTTATGCTACAGAGATTGCAGACCTTTCAGTGTGCTCACCTAGGGGTGAGCACACTGCCAAGCATATCACAGAAGACACAAAACAACTGAATAACAAATGGTAAATCAAAGAGTAGTTTTCAGGAATGTTGACAAATTCATTTAAGACCCTCAGTGTAGCATATGTCAGGGCCATCTTAGAATACACAACACCAACATGGGACTCACACCTGATAAAGCATCTTAAGAAACTGGACAAAGTGCAGAGGTATGCAAAGAGACTAGTCCCAAAGTTAAGGGGTATGAACTATGAGGAGAGACTTAAGGAACTGAACTAATTCAGATTCAGGAAGGATATAAGAAAGCACTTGTTTAGTAACAGAGTTGTGGATGAGTGGAACAAACTCCCGCGTACCGCCATAGAAGCTAAGAGGTTGTGTAGCTTTAAACATAGGTTAAATAAATACATCAGTGGGTGTGGGTAGGTGTGAGTTGGACCTGGCTAGCTTGTGCTAATAGGTCTGATGCCGTGCCCCTTCCATAAGTGGATGTAACTTGACTTGACTAAGTAGGTCATTGGTTTAAGCAGGGAGGTGAATTGAACCTGCCTCGCATGGTCTAGTAGGCCTCCTGCAGTGTTCCTTCTTTCTTATGCTCTTAAAGATTTCATTCAGAATTTTGTTGTCAATAAAGTGGTCATCTCCTGGATTCCACAAAGTCACGCACATCACCAAGGTTACTAAAATTTAATATATGAATTCAACATACCATCTTTCAAAATACATTTGACAGCAAGTGTTGTCAAAAGACATACAACAGTTTTCTATGCTTTTACCCACAATTCAACTCATTATTCAAGATTGTATTCTGGAGCAGAGTAATAAAAAATATCACTGTGAGCCACTTCACTCTCCTCTAGCTTGCAGTAAACGAACGGCTCCTCAATGACCTATCAAAGCGTATGCTCATTAAGAATGTTTCTACCCACTGGAATAGCACTTTGTGTTAGATGGGAAATGTGAACAAAAAAAAAACACATTGCAATGTATTCCTACCATCATCCATCACATGACTGAAGTAAATAAAAGCATGTTTTCTAGATCTCTTGCTTGCTAAAATAATTCAAAAAAAACAAATGTACGTCTTAGTGAAAGAAATTCTTTGGTCTCAGAAATACTAATTCAAGTACAATATTTGAAACATTTCATCAACAAAGTTTTTTAGTGATCCAAGATTTTCACGCTTGGGTAACACGATCATCTGTCCAAGTCTCACTGTTAACTAGAGGTTCGAGAGCTACAACACTGACTACGATACTACGATACTAAGCACATATCTAGATCCTCCATATAAAATAAGTTCTTCAGTGTCAATGCAGCAGATGAGTCATAAAAACAACTAATGTTGACGATGTTGAGAATGAACTGAAACTCAGGAGGAAATTCAACACCTCAAGAACTCAGAGAATGTAACTGGTTTGCTAGCAGCATAAAGCAGTAATGAATATAATGTAGAATCTCTAGATGATATAACAAGGATTGAAAAACTTGACTGGCTTGATTTTGATAGATATCGTGAAGAAATTGTAACTATCATTCCCAACAACATCACGTCACAAACATCAGCTTTGGGATCCTTTTCCAAATCATAAAAGCAATATCAGAGTGCAAGTGTGCAGGCATTTGTGCTTCTATGTTTGATAGGTGACGAATACCTGAACGACAAGAAAACTGACACCTGCCACACTCTGGAAAAAAAAATCTCAAAAAAATATATTAATTCACAATGTCTTTAAACAACTTAATATTTTATTTAAACCTTATTTTTCAATAAGAGTGAATATAAAAGGTAGTAACTATTTTGAATTTTTTTTAACATTGCACTTTTTTCGGTCACATGAAGTGTTATAATATTTGCACTTTTTATATCATATAAGTTCAGTGATACGGCACTGTTAATTATGTTTCACGAGCTTCATTTATGTATCAGCACACGGTTCAGGCATTCAACTCTGCATTGGAAACAAACCTAGAAAATCACCCGCCTTGTAGACTGATAAAACTTGGAGAATATTGACAGCCTAGTGCAGGAAAACCGTCCCTGACGAACACTGCTAAAATTATTTACATCAGGTGAACTCGGCCAATGAGATGCGATATGGACCAGTTATGTCATAGGTGAAGCTGCTCCCAGAAGCCTTCCCATTGGTCAGAAGTGAACACTTAGCAGCGAGAAGCGCCGAGCCTTCCACCACGGCGCTCAAGAAAAACATAAATTTAGGTACTAATATTCTAGTATTTGCCCACCTGAGGACTTCAATTTCTGATGCCACTACAGTCTTAAAAACCTCTCCTTTTAAAAACCACCTCAATCTGAAGTTTTCATTATCTTTAGGACTTCCCTTGGCTCGATAGGCAGAGCACTCGCCTCACACACTGGGTTTCCGTGGTCAGTCCCTGGCATGGGTGGATACACTGGGTATGTATCTTTATACCTGCTGTCCCTGATCACCTAGGAGTGTGTTAACTACTAGTGTGGGTGTTAAACGACTAGTGTGGGTCGCATCATGAGTACAAGAATGAAGGACCACAACAGAAATGAGACAGTCCTAGATGACTCACTGACTCTTAGATTATCCTGGATGGCTAACCATCCCGTTTAAGAATCCGAACAAATCTTATCTAATCTTATCGAGTGGCGCTTTCGGGTACACTCACCCACTCGCTACCATATGAGTGCACAAAAGCTATATATGTAGAGGCACTCACCCTTAAGGCCACCGCCATCTGAGGCCACCACTTGGATCTGATACTCTGGTGTAGTTTCGCGATCCAGGCAGCAGAGAGCCGTCATCACTAGACCAGTATGAGGCTCCATACTGAAGAGCGCCTCTCCTGATCGCTCATCAATCACGTTCTTCTCAATGGAGTAAGAGAGCCTAGCGTTGGTGCCCTCGGTGTCGTCGTCAGCATCCCAGGCAGAGATCATCAACACAGACACTCCTGCCAAGAACATGATATTATAATTTGAGCCATTATTAAAGTAATTAGGAACTCATACACACACACACACACACACACACACACACACACCACCATACAAACACATATACACACACACACACACACACACACACACACACACACACACACACACACAACACACACACACAAACACACACACACACCCACACACACACACACACACACACACACACACACACACACACACATACACACACACACACACACACACATCAGGGCCTTCTATACCAGTCACAGACGATGGGGCTGTAGGGATTCAGGAAAGATGAGTATAGGAAGAGCAATCGTGAAGCCTGCAGTCAATGCATGAGACAAGACTTATGCAGAGACTAACAGTCAACTACAGTGGCAGGGAACAGCTGAGCAGGGAAGACAGTCCACTGAGCATAGGGGCTGCAGCAAGGGCAGGGGTTGAAGGCAGGAACATCTCGATGGAAGGAGATAAAACACCTCAGAGGGCACAAAGGGACACAGTGGGAGGAGGAGAGGGAGCAGTCAGTGTTTGTCTACGGGCTCCAAGAAGGAGACGGCCTGTCAAAGTAGTCTTCAAGGCAGAATCAGCTCGAACTAGGGTCCTGCAGGAGAAAGCACGACTGAGGGACAGATCAGAGTACCAGAGTGTGTACTTCGATCGCGACAGAACACAGGAGGAAAGGACGAGACTGAGAGAGAGGGTACAAAAACGAAAGGAGAAACGGGAGGCATCGATGAGGACGAGCAGAACCCAGACTCAGGTGGAAGGACAAATACACCCTACAGAGACACCCACAGAAGGACTCCAACCACAACAACCCCGAAGCAACTGAACAACCTCAACCAAAACCCACACACTGTTCCCTCTGCCCCCACCTCCCTACCACAAACCCCACCCACACTGTGAAAACCCCAATGCAGCTGAACAATCTCAACCAACACCCACACACTGTTCCCTCTGCCTCCACCCCCCACATCACAAACCCCACTGCCACAGCAGCTCCCTACGGGCACTCTTCCCTCACGCACCCCAACAAAAATCCCACCCACACCACAAACCCTCGTAACCCCCCAAGGGCTCCCACCCCCCAACCCCAATATTCTCCCAGGTCCAACGTGAAGGTGTGGTACACAAACGCAGATGGAATAGCAAATAAATACGAGGAATGGCAGGAAAGAATCAACGAGAAGTCCCCGGACATCATAGCAGTCACAGAAACGAAACTCACTGAGACAATAACAGTGGCAGTCTTCCCACCGGGATATCAGATCCTGAGGAAAGATAGAAATAGTGGAGGGGGAGGAGGGGTTGCACTGCTCATAAAAAACCGATAGAGTTTCGAGGAAATGGAGGGCATGCACGAGATTGGAGAAAGGGACTACATAGCAGGCACAATTCAATCTGGGAAACATAAGGTAGTCATTGCTGTGATGTATAACCCACCACAGAACTGCAGGAGGCCAAGAGAGGAATATGATGAGAACAACAGAGCGATGGTGGACACACTGGCTGAGGTGGCACAAAGAGCTCAAACGTGCAGAGCAAAGTTACTGGTTATGGGTGATTTCAACCACAGAGAGATCGATTGGGAAAACCTGGAACCTCATGGGGGCCCCGAAACATGGAGAGCCAAGATGATGGATGTGGTACTGGAAAACCTCATGCATCAACAAATCAAAGACACTACCAAAGAGCGAGGGGAGGATGAACCAGCAAGACTGGACGTTGTGTTCACCCTGAGTAGCTCAGACATTGATGACATCACATATGAGAGGCCCCTCGGAGCTAGTGACCACGTAGTCCTGAGTTATGATTACACAGTAGAGTTACAGGTGGAAAGGGTAACAGGAGTCGAATGGGAAAAGCCAAACTATAAAAGGGGGACTACACACGCATGAGGAACTTCCTGCGGGAGGTGCAGTGGGACAGAGAAATGGTAGGAAAGACAGTAAATGAAATGATGGAGTATGTAACAAAAAAATGCAAGAAGGCAGAGGAAAGGTTCGTTCCCAAGGGCAACAGAAACAATGGGAACACCAAAGTGAGTCCTTGGTATACCCAAAGGTGCAGGGAGGCAAAAACTAAGTGCATTAGAGAATGGAAGAAGTATAGAAGGCAAAGGACCCAGGAAAACAAGGAGATCAGACTAAGAGCCAGAAACGAATTTGAACAGATGAGGAGGGAGGCCCAGCGACAGTACGAAAATGACAGCATCAAAAGCCAAGTCTGACCCGAAACTGCTGTTTAGCCACATTAGGAGAAAGACGACAGTCAAAAACCAGGTGATCAGGCTGAGGAAAGAAGGTGGGGAACTCACAAGAAAAGATTAAGAGGTATGCGAGGAGCTCAACAGGAGATTTAAGGAAGTATTCACAGAGGAGACAGGAAGGACTCTGGGAAGACAGGACAGAGGGAGACACCAACAGGGAATATACCAACAGGTGCTGGTCGATATGCACACAACTGAGGAGGAGGTGAAGAAGCTGCTAAGTGACCTTGATGCAGCAAAGGCAATGGGACCGGACATCTCTCCGTGGGTCATCAGGGAGGGAGCAGATATACTGTGTGTGCCATTAACCACAATCTTCAACACATCCCTTGAAACTGGGCAACTACCTGGCGTATGGAAGACCGCAAATGTAGTTCCCATTTTTAAAAAAGGAGACAGAAAAGAGGCACTAAATTACAGACCAGTGTCACTGACCTGTATAGTATGCAAAGGAAGGAGAGTGGTAGAGCACCTGGAACAGAATAAGATTATAAACGATAATCAGCACGGATTCATGGAAGGCAAATTCTGTGTCACAAACCTTCTGGAGATTTATGACAAAGTTACTGAAGTAAGACACGAGAGAGAGGGGTGGGTTGATTGCATTTTCTTGGACTACAAGAAGGCCTTCGACACAGTTCCTCACAAGAGACTAGTGCAGAAACTAGAGGATCAGGCGAATGTAACAGGAAGGGCACTGCAATGGATCAGAAAATACCTGACAGGGAGGCAACAACGAGTCATGGTACGGGATGAGGTATCACAGTGGGCACCTGTGACGAGCGGGGTCCCACAGGGGTCGGTCCTAGGACCAGTGCTATTTCTGGTATATGTGAATGACATGATGGAAGGGATAGACTCAGAGGTGTCCCTGTTAGCAGATGGTGTGAAGTTAATGAGGAGAATTAAATCAGATGATGACCAGGCAGAACTACAAAGAGACCTGGACAGGCTGGACATGTGGCCCAGCAACTGGTTTCTTGAATTCAACCCTGCCAAGTGCAAAGTCATGAAGATCGGAGAAGGGCAAAGAAGACCGCAGACAGAGTATAGACTAGGTGGCCAAGGATTGCAAACCTCGCTCAAGGAGAAAGATCTTGGGGTGACCATAACACCGAGCATGTCTCCGGAGGCACACATCAACCAAGTAACTGCTGCAGCATACGGGCGCCTGGCAAACATGAGAATAGCGTTCCGATACCTTAGTAAGGAATCGTTCAAGACACTGTGCACTGTGTACATCAGGCCTATACTGGAGTATGCAGCTCCAGTTTGGAACCCACACCTGGGCAAACACATCCAGAAATTAGAGAAAGTGCAAAGGTTTGCAACAAGGCTAGTTCCGGAGCTCAGGGGTATGTCCTACGAAGAAAGGTTGAGGGAAATCGGACTGACGACATTGGAGGACAGGCGGGTCAGGGGAGACATGATAACGACATACAAAATACTGCGTGGAATAGATAAGGTAGACAGAGACAGGTTGTTCCAGATAGGGGACACAGAAACAAGGGGTCACAATTGGAAGCTGAAGACACAAACGAGTCATAGGGATGTTAGGAAGTATTTCTTCAGTCATAGAGTCGTCAGGAAGTCGAATAGCATAAACAAGTGATGTAGTGGAGGCAGGAAGCATACATAGCTTTAAGACGAGGTATGACAAAGCTCTGGAAGCAGAGAGAGGACCTAGTAGCGATCAGTGAAGAGGCGGGGCCAGGAGCTGTGTCTCGATCGCTGCAACCACAATTAGGTGACACAATTAGGTGAGTACACACAAACACACGCACACACTCACATACACATACGACTTCGCATACACACAACAGGCCTAGTGTCTAATAGACATGTGCCTAGGACAAAATGGTAACTAACACACACATCCTCTCCCTCTCTCCCTCCTTTTGCCTTCCTTCTTTTCCTTTTACCCTCTCTTCCCTTACTCCTTTATCCTTCCCCCCACCCTTCTCCCCCTCTGCTTGTCTCCACATTCCACTCTCTATCCCTCTCCCCCCTCCCTACATCCCTTCCCCTCTCCCTCCCTCCAACAAACACCTAAGCAGATACACACACACACACACTCTCTCTCTCTCTCTCTCACACGAACACACATCACAAATGACCACATGAAACCCCATACGTTTCTCTTTCTGTGGTGACCAAAATAAAATAAAATAAAATAAAATGGGTTGCCAAAGAACAGGAGTGAGAACCAGGGGACTGGTGGATGAGCCTTGGATGGAAGATTGGGAGACAGAGCTCATGAAAAGAGAAGACTGGGGAAGGAAGCAATAAGAGCTTAACTAGAAAATGGAGGAGAGGATAGCTGCAAAGAGCAAGAAATGGGAGCTATAAGCCAAAGTGGCACAAGCTAAGATACAGAGCTTAGAAGAAGAACTAAAAAATCTGAATCAATCCAAAGAATTTAAGAACGGTTCGGGCATGATATCAGGAACTGCTTCATTAGATCCAAATGAAGGGACTGTAGGGACCCAAGGATGTATACTGTATGCGGAGGCCCTGGCAAACCACTGTGGAGCCTGGTAAAACATGAGGAGCACACCAGGATCAAATAAGGGAACTGAAGGAGCTAAGCTACATGCAGAGGCCCCTAACAGAAAACAGCAGTGCCCAGGATAAACTGAGACAGGAAAATGACAGACCACTGAGCACAGGGTCATCAGATAAAGAAAAGACTGAAGGAAGGAATGCTTCAATGGA